ATCATTGTCAGTTAGATATTCTTCAGTTAATTTAGTCCAGATTAAATGGCAAATTTTATCGTTACCATTTCTTGCGTGCCGAAAGCTGAAGCCCAGTTGAGCAGCGTCTGTCCGACATCATCCATAAAGTTCACCTCAAATGCTACAAAACAACAGTCCATTATTACCCATAACGCACACACACACAAAAAAAACCTTCAGCAAAACACCACCCGTTTTCTACCTAATTTCACTGAAGTTTAGCCTGTCAATATGTTTAAAGCCTATACTTTTGGAGCAAACTTTAAAACCAAGTTCTATTATTTTTTTTGTAATACATATGCAAATATATAACAGTCTAGCTGATATGATTACAAAGTTAAAAGGAAGTGTGATGAAATTTTTCCAAACTATCAACACTCAGACTCATGGCTTCTGTAATATTTATTAGTTTGCATCATTACCTCCAGTGTCAATGGCATCGATGAGAGCATCTGTGTCCTTGCTACGGATACAGTCGATGAGCTGTCGGTGTGATCTCTCCCCAGAACTGTCCAGACGTCGCAGCCCTGGGATCCTGCCCGTCGACCCTGCTGTGGACTTTGGCAGCGCTTTTCGCCCCTCAAACAGGAGCACCAGCAGGAGGTCAACCAGCCGCATGGTGTCCAGTACACAGCGCTCATCTCCTCCCAGTGCTGACTCCATCGAATCGGGCAGTGCTGAACGCAACAAGTCCTGGACACCCAGAAAGAGAACATTTAATGTTGATCAGACTTCTTACTTAATAAAGTAATAAATACGTCTTCATTCAAGGTGTTTTGACCTACATGTGTCACTAGCGGAGACCCCCTGCAGAGTGTTGACAGCAGGCTGACAATGGTAGACACCTGGTTGCTCAATTTCGAGTCAGAAGCCGAGGGGCCTGCACCTGCTGAAGGCCGGCCTGGCTTGCAGGAAGAGGCGGGGCCTGACACTGTGCCTCCAGCAGCCGCCATGCGGGACAGCAGCTCCTCTGTCAAGCCATGTTTGGCTAAAGGGGCAGGGTCTACACCACGACGTGTGAACCGGTCAGCAAGTGAGGCAAAGCAGCGCAAAGCACCGTCTGACACCTGCAGGAGAGGAGAGTTTTGAGTTATAGCATATTCAGCCTGAACAAGGTTAAAGATCTAGCAATGCTTTTCACAATTTTCCCTCTTTAATGAGCTTCTAAAAGGAAATTCGAGTTATTAATGTTCCAACACGGTACCTTTTAAACAAAACATTATAATTTAATTAGTTCTAAAAGTCCCACTGCTTCTTTCTTTAAATCATTTTTCTCACAGGCACAAAGCTATAGTTTCTGTGTTGAAGCTAGGAGTTGTTACAGCATTAGGAGAGAACAAAAACCTAATCTTTCATTGTAATATCTATTCATAGAGAAAGAGACAATCCAAACTCTGAAACTTCAGTTATCTCAATACTTGGTGCACCCTCTTCATATAGTAGAAAGAAGCAGTTTTAGCTCCACCCCTTTTATGACCACCCTCAGTTTAGGAAAAGTGGCAAATAACACAAATAAGAAGGGAGGGCAGCAACTATTTCAAAGTCTCTTTCATACCATGTATTTGTAATCAGAAAAATGCATTAA